TAACATGTGCATTTTCTTTCTTTTATTTTTTTGTAATATTGCATTTTGATTGGCATTAACTGCAAACTTTTCATGCAAGCTTTATTTAAGACACAGTCATAATAATAGGGTTAGTGACCTTGGAAGGATGTAAGGCTGAGTTGACCTTGAGCCCCTGGCTGATATTGAACTCACAATCTTGTGATCTGTGAGTGAGTGGCTGCAGTACAGGCATTTAAGCACTGCACCACCAGGGTTCCTTGACATGACAAAAGGAGAAAGTTATGCATACATGTTGCTCTTTTCCTCATAGTGTGGGAAGTATCTTGGAGAGCAGAGATTGAAAAGTTATTTCTAAAAAGTAATCTATTCCCATCATTTTTCAAAATAACATACTGCATTGCCCCATGTGAACAAATGCAGGGATGTCTGTTTTGCCTATAAGACAAATTCCAAAATTCATATTGTGCTAATACAGAGAACCCTTGGTATCAACTTGAGTTTGGTTCCAAGCCCTCCCACCTGATGCCAAAATCCACAGATGTTCAAGTCCCATTATATACAATGATGTGATAAAATTGTGTCCTTTATATAAAGTGGCAAAACCAAGGTTTGCTTTTTGGATTTTTTTAAAAAAATCAAGCCATGAATTGTTAGATCTGTGGATACGGACGGCTGAATATATCACAGGGACAAAATTGTAAGGTTTAAAAACTAGAGTTTTCTTCTGCAGACAAAGATATTTTAAAAACCTATGCAGAGTACTGGGATGAGCAAAGCAACAATTTTATAGTCACATAATCTGCATTTTGTCCTTAATTGTTAGAGAGGGAAAGATTTGTATCAAAGTAGACACATTGAGCCACATCCCCAATGGCTCTGTGCTCACTTGGAACTACAAAGCTAATAAAAGGAAAGAAATAAAATTTGGTTTTTCCATTTGTTATTTTTAATTGATATTTTTTTTTTGGCAGGGGGGAAATAAGCCCTTAGAATTGATAATGACATAACACTTGAAGTGATCTCAAAATGCTTCTAAAGGGGCTGTGAGTAACCCTTCAAAGGTAAGGTCTAAAAGAAAGTAGAAAATGTTATTTGTTACACCAATGGAGAAACGTTGTTCCATTTCATTTCCCCCTCTCTTGGAATGTTAAGTTAAATGCTGTAGATAAGAGTGAGAAAAGTGAGGGAGGTCTCTGAGGAAAAACTTAGAGAATGAACAAAATATGAGGAATCAGGATCACCTGTTCTATTACCCAGTGGCTCTTGAAAGCAGCCAACCTAAAGAAGGGTTTGGACACCTGGGGAAAAAGTTGGCATCTGCCTACTATTATCTCTTTTACTGTGAAGGACGCCTTCCTTCCTCCAGTTTTTATCATAAGCTTCCAACTAGTTCAGTTTAATAAATAAAACACAGATGGATCCAGCATCTGTTTTTTTCCCTATCCTTTCTGGCTGTTATTCCTTGTCATTGCCTCATTATTTGAAGCTGAACTATACTATATCCATGCCGCCTGTTAAAAGACACACACATACACACTCCAGGTCACATCATTAAAGAAGCTTTAATCCTTTAGAACAATTTTTCAATACGTTTTACACCAGGGACTTACTTGTACAAATCCTCTTTACACAAGACAAGAATAACACAGGAAGAAACTATTTTGTTTCTGATCTCTGCAATGAAGGAGAGCAAACCTGAGTCCTCAAGGGGCCTTGTCTCACTTAAACTAACCAGGAGGGGATTAATCAAAGTGATCTTGACTGCCTGGTATACAGGCAGCCTCTGAGCTACAATCAGTCTGATCAATGTATAGTAATAGAACAACAGAATCATAACCTCTAGTGTTTGAAGGTAAGGCAAAATTAACAGTTCCTGTTTACTCTGGGGCAAGAAAATTTAAAAAGTCTTGTGATTGTCCACAGTAATGTTGGACCTCGAGCTTTTTCATAATGCCACACTTTCAGAAAAGGAAGATGTTAAAGATCAGAAGCATCTACGATTTTAAAAAGAGGTGACAGCCCTGATTATCATTACAAACAGGATTGAATACACTGGAACTTAGGTCCCCGACTGCTGGGATGGACAAACCTATCGGTTAATTTTCCCCCCCGCATTCAGTTTTAAAAAATGTCAAGTTCTTCCTATCCCAAATATTAAGACATTTGCCAATGTTGGTAATTTTTTTAAATAAGAAAATTAACTGAAATAAAATTATTACCAATTCCTAACAAATATTAGTAATATCTATACTATACAGCTGTAGCATTACAGCATTTCTATAACTGTGTATCAATTTGTAGAATTGTGACCCAAAGACAAGGAGACCTCTTGTTGTTGTGTGCCTTCAAGTCATTTCGAATTTATGGTGACCCTATCATGAGGTCTTCTTGGCAAGTTTCTTCAGATGGGGGTAAATGTGCTTGATGATGCCAGAACCTAAATAGATTAAAGTATAAACAAGAGCATTTTCCTCCAAATTCAGGCAAAAAGCCCAGGTTTTCAGTTAGTCTAAAAGGTGCTACAAGCTCTCTCTACATACTGATTCTACAGACTAACATGGCTGTATCTTTGAATTCAGTAAAGGGGTGTGCAACATTGAGTCTAAAGCCCAGTTACACCACACCACACATCCCAATATGAAAAATAAGCATTAAAATACAAGTGATTGAAGGGTCACCTCTAGTTTTGATTTGGGGGTGAGGGGAGTTGTACAGAAGCTATGCAAAATCACACTTCTAGATTATTTCCCAAGTAGCAAATTACTTATTACCCCTGTATTTGAGAGAGGGGTCCAGAGGCTGTAGTAATGATCGGGGGGGGGGGGGGCATGTTGTTTCACTTTGTCCATACCTGATGTGGCATTTATTGCCATCTCTATTCCTGGTTCTCCCTTACCTTATTCACCCTAACATACCCCAATAAGGCTAAAAGATAGAGGTTGAGGGAAATTCCTAGTGTCCATTTCTGCTTGGCAACCTCACTTGTTTACCAGTCAGTATATAGGTGTGTTCAGACATAAAAAAGTTCCTTTACAGGATCCTGACTTTGAAATATCCATGTGGCAGAGAATTTGCCAGTGTGCAAACTCTAGCTATTGTCTGCTTGGTTGTGCAAGGCCAAAATATGTACAGGTATGTCCTAATAGAGTCCAGAGATCATAATTACGAACAGGGCTGAGAATTTCTTTTACACAGCATCTACACATACATACTACAAAGTGGTTATATTTGATAACTAGAGATAGGTTGTTTGTTTATTCCAGTTTGTGGATGGAAAGTGTCTACTGACTAGTATCGCTCTCATTTCCTAGGCACCAATTTAAGCTAATGGGTGTGGATTTTAAATTGTGCAAATTCATTTTATTCATTTTGCTTTTAAGCAGAGGGTTGAAAAACCAGGATACTGTGAAAAATAAAGTGCTCATTTTTGAAGTGTTGACTGGATGGCAATTACTTGAGCATGCACCAAGCAATGAACAGAAGGCATGCAACAGAGACTAAAAGAATATACATCCTGATGGACAAAATGATTACAGGAAAATGATGGCTGCTTTGATTGTACTATTGTTTGGCTCTTAAGAAAGTGATGGAAACAGACACTGTTTACTGTGTGCTCCCATTATTCTTCATACCTACGAAGCCAACTAAAGGACTGTTTTACACTATCAGTGGCATTTCAGTGCTACCAAACAAGTTGACAAAGCAATGTAAATGGCACAAAATCATTGCACCTTTTCATGCCCAGCAGCCATTCTCTTGAGAGCCAGCATGGTGTGATGGTTTGAGCATTTGACTACAACTCTGGAGACCAGGGTTCAAATCCTGGCTCAGCCATGGAAAACTACTGGTTGACCTTGGGCAAGTCACGTTCTCTCAGCCTCAGGGAATAGCAATGGCAAACCTCCTCTGAAGAACCTTGCCAAGAAAACACCGTGATGGGTTCACTTTAGGGTTGCCATAAGTTGGAAATGTCTAGAAGGCACATAACAATAACAACAAAGTTAGTCTCCAGTAACACTGGATGTAGTATTGCAGTACTAAAGTTCTTGGTCCTCAGAAAACTAGACTTTAAAGAAGAGAATGCCTTGTAGACAGGAGTTCTAGCTTGAA